TTTTTTTTTTTTTTTTGGTAAGAGATCCTCAATTTTACTTTAGGCAGCAAAGTACCTAGCAAGAAGGCCGTATTTCTCATGCTCTTCTTTGTACTTATGGGTGGCCAATGAGACTTAGGCTAAAGTTATTTGGAAGGACCTCTTGGAAAGTTTATTAAGACACATGGCCTGTCTTTTATCATTTTACCCTTTTTTTCCATATTGCTGACTAAACACACACATTGTGTTTGGAGCTCTAGTAACTATCTTGACTCGAGTCAGCATTGAGTATAGAAGCCATATAGATGCAGTAAGATAGATGTGACAAATTTTGAAAGAGCCTGGGTTCCTGATGACCTGGTGGATCCTCTGAATCACTTCTGGATGGACTATGAAGAGAAAAAGGGATAACACAATACTAATTATTAAAACATTCCCAACCACTTTACAGACATTGCCTAGTTTACATCTGAGAGTGGCCCATTCTCTACGGAGCTCCTTTATATTTTGTTACTCCTCCCACACATATCCCATTCATTTGAACTTTTAAGACTTGTGGTAATTCTAGTCCCATTTCTCTTTCTTCCTTTGTTACTATCTTTTAGTGTTCTGTGAAATAATTTTTCCTGTCCTTTCTTACTCTGAAATTTCCTTTAGGCTTTTTGGGCAACACTAAACAGTTAACACTTCTCTGTTTATTCCTTATTTCCCCACTCCGCTAGTTCTTTTAATTATGGCATCCTCCTGAAATGTCCCCTTTTTGCTTAATGTCTCTTAGAGCATTGTCAAAAGTATATCATTAACTCTTAATAGAAAAACAGTGCTGCAGAATCACATACAATGGAGTTCTTTTCACCTTTCCTAACTCTGGCTTGTCTCACAGGTTTTGTGGTTGTTTTAAAATGCAAATAGATGTTTAACACATGTGAGAATTCTTAGAGAACTAAAATATATATGAGATTATCATTGGTGACAACACTTTTATTTTGTTTCCACAGAATATTCATTCTCCTGTTTATTTAGAAAATACAGGTAAACAGAGAAAACATGTTTCCTCTCTTTTATATGAATTAAAGACAAAAGATATTGGCAAAAAACCAAGACATCTAATTGAAAAAGGTTAGTCGTATGAATTTTTGAAATATTTTATTTTATTTATTTATTTTATTTTTTAATTTTTAAAATATTTTTATTAAAAAGTTTTTATTAAAATTATTGCAGATGTTCCCCTCCCCCCCTTTGCCCACTTCTACCCAACCCTCTCTTCCCCTCCCTTGGTTTTCACCAAACCATTGTCTGTGTCCATGGGGTATGCATATATGTTCTTTAGCTAATCCCTTTACCTTCTTTATCCAGTCACCCCCACTCCTCCCCTCTGCACAGGCCAGTCTGTTCCATGTATCCATGCTTCTGGTTCCATTTTGTTCATCCGTTTATTTTGTTCATTAGATTCAACATATCAGTGAGATCATATGGTATTTGTCTTTCTCTGACTGGCTTATTTTGCTTAGCATAATACTCTCCAGGTTTATCCATGCTGTTGCAAATGGTAAGTGTTCATTCCTTTTTACAGCTCTGTAGTATTCCATTGTGTAAATGTACCGTATCTATTTTATCCACTCATCTGTTGCTAGGCACTTGGGATGTTTTCAAATCTTGGCTATTATAAATAATGCTGCTATAAACATAGGGATGCATGTATTCTTTCTGATTGGTGTTTTGGGATTCTTAGGATATATTCCCAGAAGTGGGATCACTGGGTCAAAAGGCAGTTCCATTTTTATGAATAAATTTTGATAAAGAATAATTAAATTCTTTAGGAATTGGGCATGTTAATTTTCAACTATAAATATATGACTCCATGAAATGTAAGTTAAGCATTCTGGATAAAATACCCATTTCTCATTTAACATTTTATAAATATACAGATTAGAAAGTTATAAATTCTTCCTAATACACATGCTTACATGTCTCCTCCTCTATTATTCCATATAATTATATATCACTATTTGGGCATTAACTAATATTTAATGTTTTAATTTTTATGACTATGTAAACACTACTCACAGTTGAGCCACACAATATATTAGGAATATATTTCCTTCCTTACACTAGTTTTTATTTTTTTTTAAACTTGATTGAAAATCTGATACCACTACTATCCCCAAGTGCATTATATATTTTTTTCAAGATATTTCTCCTAGAGCTTTTCATTTTGCTGATTTCTTCAGAACTGCTTCCTGTCTAAACCTAATCTTAATGGCTATCGTATCTTCAACTGTGATCTTAAGAATTTGTCTCTATGCTGTGTTGGGACCCTTGTTTCCAGTATTCTGTATCTTTTTCATTCTTGGTTTATTTTATTATTTTAATGCAGTGTCTTCTTCATAGCTTATTGAGAAATTATACATGGGAGGTAAATTTTTAAAACCTTGAAAGTCTATGCTACGCTTATATTTGGTTGATGATTTGACTGAGTAGAACTTCCTTCAGAATTTTTTTAATTGCTTTATTTTCTTCTAGCTTCCAGTGTTACCTTTGAAATGTATATTGCCATTTGGTTTTTAGTTTGTTGTATATGAACATCTGTTTATTATTTTCCCTCCTGACTGGAAACTTTTAGCATTTTTTGCTTTATAACAGCTGTTCTGCAATTTCACAGTGATTTGTGTCATTGCTATTTGTTTGTTACCTAACGTGGATTTTCTTTCCACTTAATTTATTGTGGCTTTTCAATCTGAAAATATCCCTCAGTTCTAGGTATTTCTCTTGTATTACTTTGTATGGTAAAATATGTGTAACAAAAACTTACCATTTTAACAGTTTTTAACTTCACATTCAGTATATTAATGCTATTGTGCAGCCATCATCTCTTTTTCTCTTGGTCTTTCTAGCTAAGGTTGTTGATCTTGTTTATCTTTTTGAAGAACCAAACCTTGTTTTCATTTATTTTCTCTGTTGTTTTTATATTTTGTTTCTGTCTCCTCTAATATTTATTATTTCCTTTCTTCTGCTAGCTTTGAGTTGACTTTGTTTTATTGAAGGACGTGTGGTACAGGGTTTCTTAAGAAGACTCATCCAATATTCTGTCTGTGATACCTGAGTAACTGCCATTGTTCTCAGCAAAGCTTGATAGAGCACTTTCATTTTATCTTCCAGTTTTCAGTCAGGTATCATCCTTTGTCCTTAACTGTGCCTGATGTTCCTGAATCAAGAATATCTTTGGTTTAACTTCTCCAAAGGGTGAATCTTTAGTCTCCTATCAGGACATAGGAGTGTAGGAGCCACCTGGTTATTAGTGGTAGCCAAAGTGTCTGTTGATGTATTTATGCCTCTAACAGTCCTTTGAACCATGCTTCTAATTCCCCACCTCTTTAGTGTCCTACATTGTGAATCAGATTTCTTCTTTTTTGCTTCCCTGCATCAAATCTTAAATTTCAACTTTACATTGTCTTTTGTTAGTTACCTTTCATCTATTAGCTTTCTAGCTTGCAAATGTTTTTTGTGTCACTGCTATTTTCTGCCTTTCTTTTCTCATTGTCGTTGCATGTTTATTTTTGTTTTTTGATCATGGTATTGAGGGAGAAAAAGAACTATGTTTAAACTATTTAATCTATTTAAACTGAAGCCTATGTTAATATTTTAAGTTAAGCTGACTTGTATCCACATTTTATATTAAATATGTGGTAGAAAGGAAAAGTAGAAAGGAAAAAAGGAGGGAGTAGGGTGTTTGGGGACACCTGTCCTGTTCTAATCAAGGGGTATCTAAACCCCTGGAACAGCACTCAAATCAGGTGGAGTCCTGATAGATTTCCCTTTTGAGTATGTGCTTTGTACAGCCACAAGCAATGGATCATGAACATTTAAGTGCATTAGCCTCCCTAGTGCTAGATAATGTCATGTTGTAACATTTAATTTAATTTATTATATCTGTGTTGCAGATGAAGAAAGTGAATTTAAAAAGCTAAGATAATTTATCCAAGGTCAGATAATCTAGAAGTGCCAGAGCTGGTACTATTTCCAGGCCCTGTTTCCTCATTCAAAGTCTAGTGCCCTTTCTATTTAACCATGATGCCTCCTGAGGACTGTAAATGTATTGCTATGTAATAATTAAATCATATACATAGGAATATGGTTGTATTAGATTAAGCTATCTGAATCTATGAAATCTAAAACACTGTCATACCCAGTGTTATTTTAAATATTGTGCAACCACCACTTTATATAAAATTCTATTATTTCCCATTTTTAAAAAATATTTCTGATGTTAAAAAAGCCATTGGAGCTGAAAAGTATCTTACTTATGTAAAATCATTAGAAGAATTAGAGTAAAAATAACATTTTCCTCATTGTTTTTTCATTTAACGAACAGCAGATTACCTTATACTTGCTTTAAAAAATGGCTGATTTTGGCTCAGCAATTGAGCATCGACCTGTGAACCCAGGAGATCAAGACTCCATTTCTGGTCAGGGTCAGGGCACATGCCTGGGTTGTGGGCTTGACCCCAGTGGGAGGCATGTGGGAGGCAGCCAGTCAGTGACTCATCATTGATGTTTCTATCTCTCCCTCTCCTTTCTTCTGTCTGAAATCAATTAAAAAAAAAAAAGGTTGATTTTAAAAGCAAACAAATTATACTAATTTTGCTTGAACAGATTATTATGATTATGATTATGATTATTATGGTATGAGTTTTTATCAATTCAGTATTAAAAACTACTTTTATTTTCTTTTGACAAGTATTTCTGTTACTTTTTAAATATAGATATTGTATCATTCTATTTAGGATTATTTTCATTCACTTTACTAACTTGTACATATTAGCCTATATTCAAAGTCATAGCATGAAAAATACCTTTTCTTCTTAGAAGTATCTCTCCTTCCTTTAATATAATGTTATTTGTTTCAGAATAATTAGTATTATTTATTTCTCTGATTGTTCTTAAATATGGGGTCAATCAAACTTTGTTTGGAAGATTAGGTAGTTTGACACTCTCTTTCTTCTCCCATGTAGTTAATATTAAGTAATAGCATTGTGTTTGAGTTGCAGACCCTTTCTGGACTACTTACTTATTTCCCCTTACTTGTAAGATGAGCAATGCCTGGAGTACTGAGTGAGAAGAGTGCTGGAACAGTCTCTTAAGAAGTAGCCTCTTATCACTTTCCTGGTCTTCATAAGGAGAATCCTTTTCAATCCTGGCTTCTACATTTTCCTTGGTGTTTGCTAAAACTTAGTTAATAAATGCTAAGTCCATTAGATTGAACTCTTCATTGTTATTCCAATATTCTGTTTCCTTGCTGATTTTTCTTTTGTCTGCTTAACCAAGAAGTGAGAAAGATATATTGAATATTACTACATAATTGTGGATTTGTTGACTTCTCCCTAATTTTATCAAGTTTTGTTTATTACATCTTGAAGTGATTTTATTATGGATCTACATAATTGTTATTGTTACATAATTTTGGTGAATCGAACCTTTTAACATTATGTATTCATCCTCTTTATCCATAATAATGTTTTTTTCTCAGACTCTGTTTTATCTGATATTAGTGTAATTGTACTGTGTGTTAGTTATAATTTTCCTAATATATTTTTCATCTTTTTACTTTTGACCTTTTGCTTTATACATGTATCATGAAACAGCAAGTGGCTGGGCCAGCTCATTTAGCCCATTTGTATATATTATATTCATTGAAAGAGTTGGGCCTATTTCTGTCTTCTTTGTCTTTGTCCAGTTTGTTCTACTTTTTCTGTTTCTGTATTCCTCTTTCTTGTCTTTTCATTATTGACACCTATATTTCCCCCTTTCCTCTGAGTTTTTATTTTGAACTAATTTCAAATGACAAAAAAAGTTACACAAGTTACAAATTATTTCTGACTTTTCTTTGCCCGTTCTCCAAATGCTATTATCTTGTATAATCACAGTACAGTTATAAAAACCAGGAAGTCAGCATCGAGACAGTACCATTACTTACCTACAACCCATATTCATGTGCGGCCCATTATCTGACTAAGGTCTTTCCTCTTGTCTAAGACCCAGTCTTACCATCTGAGTTTTAATTTTGTCATTATGTGTATACTTTTTCTATTCTGTTTATTTTGTTTTAGCTTTTTTGAAAA